AAAGTTCTTAATTTATATCGAGTTTAAAGTAACAAAAAAAAAAGTTGTGAATTTAAAAATGTTTGTTTTAAATTCAGTCTAAAATATCTCCAAACTTAGTGAATTGAGAAAATCAAATCTATTTCTTCTAAATGCCAAGTAATCTGTGTTAAAGTGGGAGGTTTCGTGACTTGAGGTTTTTAACTTCCTCCGAGTTTGTGATTTGAAGAGCTCAACACAACTGAAGTTCCACGGAGTTTGTGATTTGACAACAGCTCAATTCATAACCCGAGTTGGAATTGCGCCCGAAATCGGTTTTGGGCTCAAATTGGACTTATAGCCCGAATTAATGTTAAAGTAAGGTTTTGAAGTTCCACGGAGGGAATTGAAGAATTCAAAGTTACTTCTCCAAAACTATTATTACTGTTTTCTAAGTTGGACCAGTGACCCCTTTAGTTTTGGGCTGGAGACCTAAAAAGCTTTCCGCAGGAGCTAGGGATTGCGGTTTTTAATTTAGCTTATTAAGTAGCTAGTAGCTAATGAGCGTAGTTTTCAAAGAATTCCGCTACATTGATTTGCATTTGGGTTGGGCATTTCAGACAGATGGTGATTCTCCAGCCGTAGCAGCACTTTTGTGTTTCTTACTGCTACCAGTCGCCATATTGTTTTCGTTACTGTATTTTTAATGTGAGGCCAAGTATATTTCAGAACTACTATTTTCGTTTATTATTTTAGATGCCATACTTTTACAAACCTCCCTCTGTGAATTGGTTGCTTTAAATTCAGAAGAATTTTCTGGCTTCTTTCTTCATTCTCAGAAATAGTTTTTTGGGGAAAAGGACTTATCTTTACATTTTTTTTTTGTTGTTGTTTAGTGAGTTTGCCTGGAAAGCAGACCCGAACAGGTCTTTGTTGATAACCTGACTATTGTCGGCCATCTTGAAAAATTAGGTTTTCGAAATTGAAATATTTTCTTTCTTTTTTTTTTTTTTTAGACCAAACTAATATATATTTTTTCTTTTTATGAAACAAACGAAATGGAACAGGAATCAGAACCAATAATTACACGCAAGAAATCAAACAAACTTTTGATGAATAAGAAAAAAAAATGTGTGTGCCCGCTAGCAGAAAATAACAGCCAACGTAAAAGAATTGACGCCGCAAAAAACTGAAACACATTAGCCAAAGAAATAATATATAAGAATTATACTAAAAAGATAAAATACTAATAATCAAAATTATATAATAGCTGACCGTTCGTTTCCGATTAAACCTGTCTACTGGCACAGGGTTCCGTCTCCCTAATTTTACTCATAAAACCTGGGTTAACCCGTGGTATGTTTTTCAGACACTTTTCAAAGATGCCGCACGCTGGGATTAACCCTTCCAGTCTGATAACATCAGGAAGTTTTCTTCCTGACAAACCGACCATAGTGAGATTCGAACCCGGGTCTCATGGTCAGAATGCGTAATTTCAAACCAGTCGGTCACGTACAAGTCCGTAGCTGCGCTAACACGAAGTCACAAGTCATCGTGGCCGAGCGCTTGAATGTGCTGGCCTTGTTCAAATTGTTGCTCACGCTCTTTACCAGAAACTGTATCTAAGGTCTGCTCAGCATAGTTGTATTATAAACCACAGGTGGGCTTTGTGGGTGTTGAATAAACACAAATATGCTTGAGCGGGCGTCTGCAAACAGGGATTGGCTAGCCGCCCTAGTAGACGTGTATCCTGGAATACGAGTCGCCAGCTATACATACCTGTCTACTAGGGAAGCTAGCCAATCCCTGTTGTAGACGTTCGATGAGGCATGTTTGTGTTTGTTCAACACCCATAGAACCCACCTGACAGAGGACGGTAAGTGCGACCTTGAGATCCGAAGACGTATTGGGATGGCCAAGGACGCATTCCAAAAGCTAGGCGGAGTATTACGAGACAGAAGGATTTTGTTGACAACAAAGAATAGAATACTGAACTGCTACATGATATTTGCCCCCCATTAAGGCAGCGAATGTTGGACGGTCTCCTCAAAGATGAAGAAGAGACTCGAGTCAGCGGAGGTATGGTTCTACAGAAGGATGCTGAGGATAACATGGACCGAACATGTAATCAACGATGAGGTTTTGGAGAGGATGCAAACAAGGAGGAGGCTTATACTTAACATCAGGAAGAGGCAACTGCAGTTTCTGGGACACGTAAAGAGAAAGGAGAGCTTCGAGAATCTGATACTCACAGGTCGAATAGAGGGAAAGAGAGAAGGATGCTAAGGATATCATGGCGCGAGTGTGTGAGCAACAATAAGATCTTAGATGAAAACAAAATGGAGGCTTATACTTAACACCAGGAAAAGGCAGCTGAATTTTCTGGGACACGTAATGAGAAAGGAGAGCCTGGAGAATCTGATACTCACAGGTCGAATAGAGGGGAATGAGAGAAGGATGCTAAGGATATCATGGTGCGAGCGTGTGAGCAACGATGAGATCTTAGAGAGGATGAAAACAAAGTGGAGGCTTATACTTAACATCTGGAAGAGGCAGCTGAAGTTTCTGGGACACGTAATGAGAAAGGAGAGCCTGGAGAATCTGATACTCACAGGTCAAATAGAAGGTAAGAGAGACAAAGGAAAGCAATGCATGGCATATCTAGTGGTCTTAAGATGACAGAACAGTAATGCATGGCATATCTAGTGGTCTTGTAGATGACAGAACAGTAGCAAAAGGATAAAATATTGAAAACTACAAGTGATAGGGGAAGTGGAGAGAAATGTACATATATATATATATATATATATATATGTATGTGTGTGTGTATTGTATTTGTATTTGTGTGTGTGTATTTAAGCAGCAATCCTTTCATTCAAGCTTCATTAAATATGGCAGACAAGGCGCTTTGATTAAGAATTTAAAATTTATAACTACCAATCTTATAGTTAAAAATAATATTCCATCTCTTAGACAAAAATTCAATAGAACAAATATTATTTACGAATTTAAATCTCCATTAAGGAAGTGTATTCCCAATCAAGCAAAATTCGTAAACAATTATATAGGCCACACTACAATATGTTTAACAAGAAGACTCACATTACATCTTTCTGACCATAGCTCAATTATGTCTCATTTAAATACTCATGAACATAGCGGATCCTATTTACAAGATACTTGTTCATAATACAGCATCATCTACATGTAAAAAGGGCTAAAATTAACGGAAGCCTTATTAATAAAAAGAAAGCATAACAAACCTCATTAACATCAACTATGTACATGGACACAATATGTTGACTGTATTTTTAAAATAAAACATTCTATAATACTAAATACAGACATACAGATATTTCCAGTTTACTGTTAATATATTTAATCCTTGAAAATGGCTAAATGTATAGCCGAAAGGGCTGGGAAAAATATAACATTTGAACAGTTTTTGTAGAATTTATCATCTGAAAAGAAAAGAAAATATAGGGTCATATGAGGAGGTACGTTGGAGTAATGGATAGTGGCTCGGATTGAGGAATCGGAGAGCCGAGTTCGAATTCCAGTCGACATCCATTGCATTCATTTACGTGCTAATACCCTTGGGAAAGGTGTGAATCCTCTTCTCTCCCTGCTTTGGGTAAATAGCAGAACATTCTTGGATGGCAACTGGTCCACCACAGCGGGAAAAAGATGGAAAGATACATGATCGCCTAAACATGGCACGCAACTGACTGGCACATGAGAAATTATATAAAAAACTTAATCAAAGCACCTTGTCTGTAATATCTAATGAAGCTCATATATATATATATATATATATATATATATATATATATATATAATGATTTTGATATTTTTTCTCGAAATATATATTCCCATTTGTGCAGATGTTTCTTGGTTAATTTTTCTTTGAGAAAACGCTCGAGATTCACACTAATCTGAAAATAAAACATTCTATAATACTAAATACATACATACAGATATTTCCAGTTTACTGTTAACATATTTCATCCTTGAACATAGCTAAATGTATAGCCGAAAGCGCTCGGAAAATATAACAATTGGACAGTTTTTGTATAATTTATCATCTGAAAAGAAAAAAATAATAGGATCATGTGAGGAGGCACGGTGGAGTAATGGATTGAGGAATCGGAGAGCCGAGTTCGAATTCCGGTCGGCATCCATTATATTCAATTACGTGCTAATACCCTTGAGAAAGGTATGAATCCTCTTCTTCCACCCCCAGCCTTGGGTAAAACGCAGGACAGACCGGGTTCTATAGCCTTGGGTGGCATCTGGTCTACCGCAGAAAGAAATGACAACCTACTGCGGGAAAAAAGATCGAAAGATACATGATCGCCTATGCGTGTATAACGCATTGCACATAACTGACAGACATATGAGAAACTATATAAAACAACTTAAACAAAGCACCTTATCTGTCATATTTGATGAAGATTGCATATATATATATACTCTTTTTGATATTTTTCTCGAAATATATATATTCCATTTGCGCAGATGCATGTTGGATCCTTTTTCTTTGAGAAAACGGTTGACATTCTCTATTCTTCAAGTATGAAAACAAATGAACATTTTCTGAAAGATATTTTTTTGTTCAGCCAGTATTTTAGGATATTTCCAAATACATCCATCAGAATAACTTTTGGATACCAAGGTCATATTATTGCAGTAACAATCTTCACAAATTCTTTCTCCTGCAATTAAATTGTTTTCTTTATTAAAAAAAAAAAAATGTAGCAAATTTTCTAGATTCTTTCTTGCGCATTATGGTCCCGATTCTAGACTTTTACCAGATTAACTTTTAAAGAAGAATTTCTTTTTACAGGACGAAAAGAACATATAGATGGGACTAAGAATTCGGGAAAAAGGTTTTAAATTTTTTAAAGATATTAAGCTGTTGTGGAGAGCAGACGAGGGCTAAGAACTGCAGAATTAATATTAATAACAAAACAGAAAACAAGATCTTACGCCTGTGAGTTCATCTAAAAATTGCATTAGTGCAACCAGTTTGATCAAAAATATCATTTGAAATAGCAATTGACGAAAGAAAAAAACGCAGCAAGAGTCTGGAAGAGAAAGTTGCCCAAAACCAGGAACCATTCGTCGTAGCGATAAAGACCGTAGTATTTCAAATCATCTTGGAAAGAATTCCAAGAAAAACGCGATAAACTGTCGCTCGTGTATTTGGATTCTGCAAACCGCAAAGAGTCTGTGATGGTTTCCAACACGATGGGTTTGAGCGCGAAACGGGAAATTCCTACCGCCAATTCGATAATCATTAAGAGTGCCAGAGTGTAGATGTGGACAGACAAGAGGACATCGTTTCGTCTGTTGACGCTGATAAGAGACAGTAAAACTGTTAAAGATAACACGACTTCGAAAGTAATAGCCAGGGTAGACGGGACGCTGATGCAAGCAGTGAAGAGGCGATAATTTTTCTTCAAAGAACTATGGATGATGGCGCCGGCAATCAGCATAACAAGTGAAATCACGAACAAAACGCCATTTCTTAAGATAATATATATATATATATATATATATATATATATATATATATATATATATTACAACATTACTACCACATCACATCTACTATTATCATATAGACCCGCTATAATTATTAACGTAAACTACCTCCTCCCCCAGCATATTAAATACCACCATAAAAATAACCAATAAGGATTACAAACCGAAATTTCTACCATTTACATATACACAGTCATCAAAAACAAACAAATAACTAGCTTTAAAATAATAACAAATAAACCATTTTTTTAAAATTAAAAATAAAAATAATAGTAATTTTTACCTATCATAATTTTACACAGACACCACTAATCGTATATACATACATGCGAGGAAATATTATTCAGTGGAAAAATAGAAAAATGCTCTGATTTTTGACATGGAGACATTCACGAGACATTCACGAGACATTCACGAGACATTCGCGAGAAAATTTTGCTACACTTCCAATCTTTGAATTTCAACATACAAATGCGTATGTATAGACACAAAACCACCCATATACATCCATATGTCAAATCCGAAACTGCCCACGTATGTTTATACATGTATGAGACGCGACGGACGTGCAAGTGTGTATGTGTGTCTGCGTACCTAATCGGATGTACGGACATGCATCTATGTTTGCATCAGCACGATGGCATCACGACGACGATTCCCCCACTCCCATAATAACACTAATACATGCAATCTACATAAACCCAAAATTTTAAAAATATTAATCAGTTTGTCTGATGATCGCAAAAGCGTGAAACCCAGGGTCACAAACTCACATCAATTCAACCAAATATGTATATATCTATCTCTGATATTGAGCGCTTTCTAATAAGCATATATAATATATAAATAATATATATATATATATATATATATTTATTTATATTTATATACACATTTTTACACATATATACACACACATATATATATATATATATATATATATATATATATTGTGTATTTAAGCAGCAATCCCTCTTTCATGTACATTTCATTGAAAAATGACAGAAAAAGGTGCTTTTATTCAGTTTTTTTATACGATTTCTCATGATCTAATATTTTTTTTTTTTCGGATAATAAATTATATAAAAACTGTCTGAATGTTCTTTTTTATTGCGCTTTCGGCTATACATTTAGCCATTTTCAAGGATTAAATATTTTAACTGTTAAAAAAGAAATAGTTTGTTGTATGTATGTTTTATAAAATGTTTTCATTTTTTCAAAACACAGTCAAGATATTGTGTCCATGTTCATAGTTGATATTATTAACTTGTTTTTTTTTTCATTTTATTTTAATTATTCCATTATATAGTCCCCTTTTCATTTTATCGACAATGTATTTGCACAACGTTTATTTATGTTGTACAAATATATATATATATATATATATATATATATATATAATATATATGGTTATTTATCAGTGACAGGACCCAAAATGTTCAGTTCAATATCCCGGTTTAAGGCAGTGGACAGTAACTTTCAGAGGAAAATTAATTTTAAGATAAAATATCATTTTGACATCCATTAAACATTAAGATTTGAAAAAATTCTAATTTAACCCCAGTGAGCTAAATAAACGGTAAAAATTAAATAAAAAAAAAAAAATTCATCGCAAACCATAAAAAATGTTTTCAAAATAAACTTCCATGTTTCAATTAATTTTTATGAATTTTAAAATATTTTTAAACCCAGTTGTCTTCAGCAATCATTTTTACCAGTGCTCATTTAAAATTTTTTTAAATAAAAAATGTTTTTTTTCCCTTTAAAATCATTATATTTTGTTTGTTGTTTCATATTTTTTATCTGGCAATATATTTATATCAATAATATAATTTAAAATATTTAATGATTTATATATCAGAATGAAAATTTTTTAAAGATTTTCAAACTATAATTTAATATGAATTCTTAATATTTATGAATTTTCCAATGGTGGACAATCTATGATCTCAAATGATCCCAAAGAATCGGTGCAATATGGATTTCTCTCTTCAATGTGGTCATGATGAAAATTTTTTTTAAATCGTGTAATTCTGGAATCAAAAAAAGCTTTTCAAAATTTATATTTGAGGGGGCGGCCTATTTTTGGAATTGATTTCATCCCCAGCTGCACGGGATGAAATAACACAGTCTTTAGTCATGATTCATTTAAATAACCTAACATAATAATGAGATATCTCAAAATATACCCAATCGTCAAGCTAAAGAAGGTTGTAAATTTTATGATATATGGACCGCAGATCCTAAAATAATTTTTCTGATAGGTTTTTACACATAAAGACACATTCAATAAACATATATCATCAAAATTTTAATTTTTTTTTTTTTCATATAAATGATACATTTTATAATTATATGAACCCCATCATTTTAAAGTTGTTTATGGATATTAATTAAATATTTTGTTCCATGGAAATTTTTAAATGAGATCGAAATTGGAATATGTCAGAAAAAAAATTAAGGAGTTTCAGGGAGTCAAACAAATTGTAGAATGTTATTTATAAATGGAATCCATTTCGAATTTTAATTGATATAAAACTTTTACAATTCCAGATGAAAAGGCCATTACTTTTCTTTAAATGACCAAAAATCTAACAATTTTTAATTCTAGGAGGTGAAAATTATTATATATTATTTTTTTTTTTGGCCATTTACAATATATTAAAATTGTTGAATTTTTTTGGTTGATTTGTCATCTCAATTAATGAGTGAGAAAAACTTATTAAAATATTAACATAACAGAAAAAAATATATAAAGAAATAAAAATGAAGCAAAAAAAATGAAATTTACGGTTACGAAGAAATGGAAATTTTATTGAGGACTTTTAACCTAATTAAAAAATATAAAAGTTTAAAAGTTTATTCATCTTTTAAAAACAAGTTCTTTTTTGATATTGTGAAATTATCAATTCCAGAATAAGTAACTTTAAAATATTTTTTATATCCTCTGAATCCGCAATGATGCAAGCATATTTTTTTTGTATATGTTACGATCGATAAATTGTTTTTTGTCATAACTAACGAAAAGTGAAAAAAACAAATTTTAAATTATCTCATTTTAACAGATTTATTAAATAGATAAAATTTATATAAAAAAAATCTTGAAATATTAAATTTTTAAATTTATTGAAATTTTATCAATAATCACATCAAACAACAATCCCTCAAAATACTTTGGAAACTATTGAACTCTGCATAAATACGGTTAAATTTTTATTGATAAAAATTTATCAGTTAACCATTAAAAATCTGCATTCAGTTCATCTGTTGTGTCAAGTTCAAAGATTTTCATTTGGTCTTTGATTTCAACTGGCAAAAAACATTTTCACGTGGGTTTTTAGATGGGAAAAAAGAAATTAAAAAAAAACATGAAATGGTTTAAAAATTTCTGACAGCCTTGACTGATTCTGGGAATATTTGTGTTGAACAATGGTGCAGAATCTTGTTTTCAGACATAGAATCTTCCAGCAGGCCATAATTTGAACCCAAGGCAAATAAAAAAAACCTTTCAACTATTTAAAAAAATTTTTAAATGCCTTATTTGAAAAAAAATATCATCAAATAAATTGTTTTTTTAATTCGTCTTTATATTAGTTTTAAACGATTATAAAAATATGTCCTTTTTTTAAGAAATATTTTTGTTGTTATAAGGTAAAGTGAATTGTTCCAAAATTAAAGTCGGCGGTGTTTTTCCAAATTAAAATAACCATGGGTCAAGTGGATTGTTAACAAAAAATTTAAAGGAATACCTGATTAGGAAATAAAAATATTTGTATCCCAAAATTCTTGAAGAGATTTCCATTGATGCTAACAAAAATATTTTATAGAAATAGCGCCGAATACAAAGAATTTTGATATATATTCAGATTATAATAAAAATCAAAATTGTTTAAAATTAATTTAAATGGTTTTGTTCGTTTTACTAAATTAAAAAAATGTTCTAAAAGAAAAAAAGAAATCTAAGAAACTTTGATCGATGATGATGATTTGTTTACTAATTATTTGAGGTTTTGAACAAAATTACTACAAATTCATCTATATAATTGTAAAAATTGCTAATTCAGACGAGATATCATGCATTTCCAAGGGCTCGAAAATCATTTTCATTTTAATTTTAAATTCTTTGTTTTTAAAGAAAATATTAAACATTGATGGTTAAAATATAATTCAAGAAAAATTCAATGTTTTTTTAAATGATTTCAGCCAATAATAAATATATGAGAGCTAAAAAAGTTTTTATTTATTTTATAAAAAGATACATTTTGCGGATATATATGGAAAAAACTCCAATTTTAATTTGAACAGATTAAGTTTGTAGCAATAAAATTGGGAAATGATTTAATAATATATGTAATCAAATATAGATCTTTATTTTTAATTTAAACGGAAATTTATTTAATAAATAAGAAAAACTAGATTTGGATAGATAAAAGTGAAAAATGCCATGAAAATATCTAAAAAAAACTGATAAAATTCAAAATGAAAGTTTTTTAAACATAAAAAAAAAAAAATATGGATTTAAAAAATATATATTTTTATATATATATATATATATAAGAAACAGATTATTTACAAATGAAAAAAAAAAAACGAAACAAATTTCAGTTTAGAGGATTCTAAGAAATCTGTAGTTGGATTACGTTAAAATATATAGTTATATACTTAAATATAAAAAAAAGGACAAACCTAAAAATAAAATTATTTTGAAAAATTTTCAAAGATTTATTTGGAACTTAAGGGATACTGAAAAAAAATTATTATGGGATAAACGGTGGAAAAAAGATAATAAAAAAATTTTAAACAAAGTTTATTTAATTGATTTTTTTTTTTTTGACTTTTTTTACTTTATAAATAATAGACTTTTTTATCCCCGCCAAATTTCAATAATTGAAAAATCATCTGTGAAATTGTTCAATTAAATAGGATAAAAATTTTTATTATATATTTTTTA